GCAAATCCAGCGGTTCCCCTGGCCCTGGATGCCCATGCATGTGGCACGGGGGTCCCTTGTATTCCTCAGCTAATCTGAGAAAAACTGAGTGATTGTTGCTTCACTTTTGTTTGTCTTTCTTTCTGGTGCCCCATAAGGACACCGAGAAATGGATGATCTCACTGAGTACACAGATCATAGGAGAAAAGCCCCAGACAGTTAGTGGTCCCATGTGGGCCATCGTTTATCCCAGGGCAGTGTGAACACTCCTGATGGTGTCTTGTGCTGTCTAGAGCAGTGATTTATGCAGCCAGCATTGCCTTGTGGGAGGAACCTGGGAGGGGTCCGGCGAGGAGGAGAGTCACTTCCCCCTCCTCTCTCCCTTCCCATCAGCCTCAGACCTGGCTGACTCTGTGAGAGGTTGCAGTATCTCCTTCATACTTTCAAGGTGGTCTTAATGCAGGGTATTGGGGAGGAGGGAGGAAGCAGAGAGGAGAGAGATACAGATTCTTTTCGATCTTGCCCTTCTCCAAGTCAGTTAAAAAAAAAAAAAGTCACACACACACATTTGGGGGGTTACTTTTGCATTTGTCTGATATTTACTGAAAGGTACAAAGTTTACTTCTCACACCCCTGGGAAGATATTTACTTATATTTATTACTTTAATTTGTTCATTCATTTGTTATTACCTTAAACATTCTATTCACTCCTCAATGCTAGGCCACTGGGTGGTGCTGGAAATTTCAACTAGAAAAGAAATTCAAGAAGGAATAGCATTAAAATGTAAAGTAATGCTTTCTTCCCTATAGCCAGCTATCTACCCAGCCATCCAATTATTCATCTATCTATCTTAGTGCTCATGAGACCTCTCTGAACTTGACAGTGGTTGAACTTGTTGGTGAACAGCTGATGCTCATTGGACCTGAGATCGTGATCTGAATTGATGTTGATGTTGGTTGAAACTCTACCCTATAACCTCCCTTGAGCTCACCATACACAACTCGGTTGAGTCATTTCATTATACGGATGCTCAGATGTTCCTAATGAGCTGGCTTATTTTCACTTTGCAGCCCAAACAGAGATTAAAGCATTAAAGCAAAATGCATTTAGTTTTAAAATGTTTTAGTTGAGCTCAAATATTCAGATCATTGGAAAATACTTTATAAAATTCATAGAAGTTAAAACTACGAACTCTTTTAGAATTATACTTATGAAGTTAGAAATGATTCCCCTACTATACAGGTATATATATTTAAATGCTAGAATTTTTAATGTTTTTATTATAAAGAAATGATCATTGTTTGAGGAGATAGTGTTTACCCTAATTTGAACATTGCACAATTTATTACATCTATCAAAATCTCACATAGTACCTCACATAAATATGCATAACTTTTATATATTTGTTAAAATTAAAAAAAAACAATGCTCCTAATTCAAATGATATCCAGTTATACCAATTCATTTTAATCTTAGATAGAACTAGACTTCTGGAGTTGGGGTTTATCCAAAGCCTTATTACAAGTTTGGGAAGTTTTAGGAGAGCTTATTTTTGTCTTCCTTGCTTCTAGTTAGATATTTTTCTCCCAGTGAATTACTTCGGATCTTCAGTGATTCCCCCGTGCCCATAGCAACCCTTATATATACTTCCAAAAAGCTGCTTCCTCTAGACATTTGGGTGTGTTGCCCACTGTACTGAAGATTTGGGCGGGGAGAGAGGAATTTATATCGCAGATATGAAGCAAGTTCAAATTGGTTACTAGACACAGCTGTTCTTCCCAATTTTCCAAATTGCTGCTCCTGAACTTGAACCTCCCTCTTGTCAATTGATACCCATTTCTTTTCTTCCTCCTTTTTCAGGCTTTTCTTTCTATTTTCTTTGCCCCCTCTCTTTCAGAGTATGAAATCAGCCTTTCCCCATTTTACTGTATTTATTTTTTTTAAAAAATCTTGTTTTTAATGCAGAGCATTAAAGTTCTAACACCCAGTTCCAACAGCCCAGTGAAGTCTGGGATCTCCACTTGCAGCTTCAAGAGGGTAGTCTGATCAGAAATGATGCTTTGAAAATCCTTTTGACCTAAACTCTCAGACAATGGCCACCTTCCTCCTCCTTCTCCAGTTGGAGGTGAGGATGGAAGTGGGAGAAGTTGAGTGTGTTCTGGGTACCATATGTAGAAGAAAGGGCAAAACTCCCTGCTTTGAGCTAATGGGATTTGAATCATGGCTGCTTTACTTCCTGGCTGTGTGACCTAGGACAAATTAGTTAACTTTTCTGTGCCTGTTTCTTCTCTCTAAAGTGAGAATTATACTACTGTCTTTCAAGTTTTGGAAAAGAATGAAATGGAATGATGTCTCTAATGCACCTGGCTAAATGCAGGCACTTAAAAATGTTAGTTTCCTTTTCCTTTTAAGGGAGAAACACTTTCCTTGAGGGTTACCTATGCAAACATTAAATATTTATAAATTGCATAATTCAAGAAAAACAAAACTCGGAAAGACATCTTTAGATTTTTGATGAAAAATAATCATCTCATTTGCCTTTTGTGCAAGTCTGTATTTTTAATGTGCTGGACTGGGTCTGCTTTTGGGTGTTGATGTGTGATTCTCAGCACTGTGACACTTACAGCCTTATGGGTGATGGAAATATTGGGTTTCGATGTGTGATTTGAGACAACCGGAGTGACTGATGAGGCCTGTAACTGTCCCTGAGGTATTGTTTTGAAGTGGGCCCATTGGGAGCTGTATGGATAATGAGGAGATAAACACCAGGCTGAGGCTTTGTGGCTTGGTCTGATGGCCCTCACACAGCACAGTGAAGAATGGATATCTTACCAGTGGAAAGGACTCACCATATGCTTCTCCTCAAAAGTTGAGTAGAATATAGGTCTGAATGAGTAAGTGGTCCTGATTGACATTCTTGTCAATTAAGCTGATTTAAACTATCGGCAGTTTGTATACTTCTTTTGGATTTTAAATTCCGGGATGCCAGGGCTTGTGTTAGAAACAGTGGTGGCTACATTATTCATAATATTTCATGTTCTTAGGGGCAAGAAAGAATAATCCAAAGGCTTACACAAGAGATTCCCCCCCCCGTCATCCAGTTGATTGACTGATTGCCAAATCTAGCCTGTCACTTGTTTTTGTACCTGTAGCTTGCTTTGCTAAAGAATGATTTTTGAATATTTAAAGGGTGATGAAAAAAGAAAAATACATGACAGAGATTATATATAGCTTTCCAAAGCTAAAATATATGCCCTCTGGCCCTTTATAGAAAAGGTTGCTTTTCCCTGGTCTGGAGAGTGTGAAATGGCTCATTCAATATCATTATTGAAGGCGAAATGTAATGATATGGATTTTTCAGTTGTAATCTGGTTTGTGACAGCCACCGTGTGCCTGTTTAAACAAAGCTTAGTGGATATTGCTGATAACCACATTTCAATATTTGTATCTTGCCCTCTCTGCGTAGGGTTATCCCAGCTTTGCCCTGGGCTCTGAGTCTCTATTGTTGTTCTAGAAAGTAGCTTATATGTCTGCCACCTCCTCTCTACCTGCCACCCTCTCACACAGCTAACCCATGCAGACAGCATGGACTTGAACTACAAATGACAGCACTTCCTTCCTCCCTGCTGGCCTGAAGGGGCATGGCAGGGCCAGCTCCAGAAGTGCTGGATTGGAGTTTTTCATCTTGTTCTGCTCCTGCCGTATCTGGGGGAGGGCTTCTAGGTGTATATGTCATTGGTGTAGAAACGTCAGCCCAGGGAAGGGGGCAGTTGTGAACCTGTAATCTCTCTCAGCAGTGGGGCCTGCATTAGACTCTGAAAAAATGGGCAGAGTTTGCATAAGTGAAGGAACAGAGGAACAAGGGAGCATGTCATGAGGTGTCCTGACTGGAGTGGAGACTTAATATGGTGAGAGATGAGAATGGGCCATCATTAGGGCCAATTTAGTGGCATTGTTAAGACATGGAATTCCAAATCCAGTAGCTAACATTGGACTTTATTTTAGAAAAGAATGAAGTGTGTGCGTGTGTGTGTGTGTGTGTGTGTGTGTGAGAGAGAGAGAGAGAGAGAGAGAGAGAGAGAGAGAGAGAGAGGGGAAGGGGGAGTGTACATACCATAGCCATGCTCCGCATGTTTCAGTCAACCATGGGCCACATAGATGATGGTGGTCCCATTGGCTTACAAAACCCAGTGACCCTGTAACAATTTCAGCTTATGTAAGTACACTCTATGATGTTCATGCAATGACAAAATCACCTAACAATGTATTTCTCAGAACTGTCCCTGTCATTAAACAGCGCAACTGTCTTTGTTAGACCTTAACAAACAGACATTGGGCTAAGGATATTGTTTACATGGGCCATCTATCTCACTTAATCCTCTCAACAATTTTTGGAGGAAGATCTCCTCCCTAGTTTAACAGATTTAGAGTGGTTGAATTCACTTGCTCAAGGTTGCAAAGTTAATAATAGGCCGAACCAATATGACCTGACCTGAGAGCCTAATACTTAACTCCTGTGCTATTGAAACTAATTCAGTATGAAACATTCTAACAAGACAGGAAAAGGGGAGGGAGGGAGGGGAGAGAGAGATAGAGATTGAGAGAGAGAGAGAGAGAGAGAGAGAGAGAGAGAGAGAGAAAGAGAAGAGAGAAGAGGAGAGAGAGAGAGAAGCAATTGAAATCCTGCCTTTCAAAAATGACCAGAGTGAACATTCTAGAGCATTCTATGTGTATGCATGACAATATGTAGATGTTTTGCATAACTCAGCCTGTTATGTGCCTGCACATTTAATATAAATGGCACCATGCTCTATATCCTAGTTTCCCCCTCCATTTAAAACTCATTTTCTAATTTCACAAACGGATGTGTGATATTTTGCTTTACGACGGTACCCTTATTCACTTAACCAGTATCGCTAGATCACTGCGGATTCTTAAGCAGGGGAGCAATTTATTGGAAGATTAAAAACAAAACAAAACATTTTCAACTGAGTCTCATGCTTTTCCCCTTCCTTTGCAGCACGCCCTTGATGCTGACAATGCCGGAGTCAGTCCCATAGGAAACTCCTCCAACAGCAACAGTCACTGGGACCTGGGAAGTGCCTTTTTCTTTGCTGGAACTGTCATCACCACCATAGGTATCCGTTCATTTGCTACTGTCCTTCTCTCTGTGGGCTGTCCCTAGTGATGGCTGGTCAGCATTCTGTCCTGAGTACAGGTACAGGGTACAAGTAGTTCAAGGTTGAAAAGAGGCTCATGACACACTACCAAATGAAGAGTCACTGTGGTGGCTTTCAATAAAAAGCAAAGTGGAATAAGAATCTCCTTTCAGAATGAAAGGCTAGGGAGCTTTCAGTTTGAAAGCACCCAAGGAAAAGGCTAGTGTGGAAAATATGAGTTAGTTGAACTCAGTCTGCTCTGTTGAGCTCAAATTTCCTTTTGATGATCGTACTTCTTACTAAAGTTCTATATGGTAGAACCAAAATGCTCTACAGAGTTTGTTTTGAAAAACAACACTCCCTGTTCCTGTCCCATTTTTTCACCTTCCAAGAGACAACTACTTTCATGTCTTTTTGATGATTTCAGTGTTCATCTCCTTGAATTTAAATACCGCATTTGTATTGAGACCTCTGGAATTTGGGGCTTAGCAGTTATTTCTGGACTTCCCATCGTGGAAGAGGAGGAGGAGGTGTTAGTTCACTTTCTTCCTCTCTACATGGCTGCAGAAGGGCTCTCTTCCTGATACAGTTTGATTAGAGTTGAACCTTTGCCTTGGGTTGACTAGGTAAATGCTCTTTGCAACTAGTCATGTGGTGAACTATGATCCCTCCTCCTCCTCTTCTTCGTCCTTCTTTTTATTTTCAGTACTGGGAATTGAACTCAGGGATACACTACTGCTGAGCTGTATCCCCCACCTTTTTCATTTTTAAATTTGAATTGCCAAGACTGGCCTTGAACTTGTGATCCTCTTTTATCTCAGTCTCTGGAGTTGCTGGGATTACAGGTGTGCACCACCACACCTGGCTATGATTACTTCTTTCCTGCACCAATTTTTGTCTTATTTTATTTGTGTGTGTGAGTGAGTGTATGTGTTTTGACAACTTGAGGAGTTTTGTACTTTTGTCTTAGGAGCTAGCTTTATATCAGTATACAATAACCACAGTGTTCGATTCATTAGCTAGGATAGGTCAGATCCCTGTTATAGGAGATGGCACCTTTTCCTCCACTCCTTCCCCATGACATGATGTTAGTCAACGCCACCTATTAAATGTTTGCTATCCAATGATTAGATATGCTTATGCTTCTATTATGTGATTTGCTGGCTTTAAGGGATAACTCTCGGCTCTCAGCTCTTCCATATAATGCAGTCAAGGGAACTTACTCAGCATCTCAAGTCCCTTTCCCACCTGAACCAACTGCCATGTCATTCAACATACAACAGTTTACACTCTGTTCTGTTACCCTGATGCTCCCATTGGCTTTAGATGTAGTTTTATATTTTCACTACTACCCTTTCTGTTCCTGTGTGTGTGTGTGTGTGTGTGTGCGCGCGCGCGCGCGCGCGCGCGTGTGTGTGTTTATAATGCCTACTCTGCCACGTGCACCTACTAATTTTATTTTTCTTTCTGGGAGCATCAGGGGTTATATTTCACTTCCTAATTTGTTCCTGGGTTTCTTAGGTCACATTCAATCTTCTCTTGTCATCTCACACTCCTTCCCTGATTTCTTGTTAAACAATGTCAGTGTTCCTCTCTAGCCCAGCGGTCCTCGCTCTGTTCAGCATCACTTGCTTGGCTGGCAGTCATTCTAAGTAGTTGCCTCATGAATGGCTCAGGATGCAGTATTCCCTGGGATCTTGCAGTGCTTAGGGTGGCAGGCTTCACAGACAGCTTTGCGGGAGACGACTGGCTGACTCACCTTTTCATTTACACTGGTCTTGTGGGTGTCCCTGTGCTGTCTTTTGATGTCAGTGTTGCTGTGGAGTAACCTGAGGCTGGCCTGCCCTATTTTTCTCCTTTCATCTTCTTATTTTTCTTTTGAATTTTGAGATGGGTTCTCGCTGAGTCGGCGAGGCTGGCTTTGAGCTTTTGATCCTCCTGCCTCAGCCTCCCGAGTCACTGGGATTACAGGCATGTGCCACCGTGCCCGGCTTGCCCTTTTATTTTGATCTTGATATTTTAGTTGAGCTTCTTAAAAGATTATTTCCTTATATAACACTACTGGGTTTTGTCCCTTTTATTTCAAGAAAGTCTTCCTGATGGTCACTTTTAAACAATTTCTCTGCTGTGTGCTTTTGGTTTTATTCTTCAGGGACTCCAACCACACGTCTTTCATGTCTGACTTCTGTGTCTATCATTTTTCTTCTACTTTGTTTGTAACTCTGAAGATGTGGTTTTGTTTTTTTTACTACTACCCTTTCTCTCTCTGTGTGTGTGTGTGTGTGTGTTTTCATAATGCCTACTCTGCCATATGCTCTGGGAGCATCAGGGGTTATATTTCCCTTCCTAATTTGTTCCTGAATTCAATCTTCACTTGTCCTCTCACACTCCCTCCCTGATTTCTTACACTCTGCTCCATAGTTTCTCTGTGAAGGCTACCATTTTTGTCTAGTTTGGGCAACATTTTTCTGGTGTCGTTAATCCCTTGGGAGTTTTGTTACTCTTTTCACATTTTTCCTTATAAATCCTTTATATTTATGCTGGCCCAGCTTCTTCTTAAAACACGTAACTCCCCCAAACCGGTCAATCCTGGACCAGCCATTTGTCACATGTTTTGGAGGCTGGGTGAGGAGGTCGGGTGAGGCGGGGCCTCCAGATAGCACTTTCCAAGCTTCTTCCTTTCCACTGCTCATTTCTGAGACAGAGTGCCTCTCACAAGTGTGGCCCCTCCATGTTTTTCTCTGTAGAGACCCGCTGCTTCTGTCTTCTGAACCAGATCAGTTTCAAGGTGGTTTCTGCTCTCCCTCTTCACCCTTTCTTCCACACTTGGAGCAACCAGCGACATCTCTTTTAAAGTTCAAGTTGTGAGCCTCACCTTCGTACGTGGGCATGTGCTGGCGCTCTCTGAGGTTGGCCTGGGATGGGCCCTTTCATGGATCTTTGTGCTTCTTCTGTTTTTTTTGCCCGTTTGGCTTCCGTCCATTCTCAGCTTCTTTGGGTGGTTCTGTGACCTCTGGATTCTATTCCTCTTGCAGTTCTATAGAAAACAAGTTCGAGGCGTTTCTGCCCCATACCACGGTGAAGGAGCTCTCATTCAGAAGACAGGGAGAGGCCCAGCTCCCACTGGTCCCTGTCGGTGATGGCCCGCCCTCCAGGAGCCCTCTGTCCTCCAGGTGGGAGGACTCCTTTATTAAAACCTGTGATACTTTCTGGGAGGAACTTCCCATCCTGTTTCTTCTGGAGCTCAGCTATGCCTTCCAGAAAGTTCTTTCCTTTGATGCACACCTTTGTGTGTCCACTTCTCATTGGTGCACAAGTTTTTGGTTTTGTTTTCAAATCTGGCCTCTAGGACCTAGCTGCTTCCACCTTGGTAAAATTGAGCAAGGTACGTGCAGTAAGAACGTTCCGGATGGAAGACAACTGTCATTCCTACTTAGAAAGTCTTTGTGTCAGGGTTCTTCAGAGAGTTAGAAGCAATAGGGTGTGTGTGTGTGTGTGTGTGTGTGTGTGTGTGTATAATATACATGTAGGTATGGATTTATGGATTTTCTAGGGAAATAGGCTCACATTAATTGAACCAGAGAAACCAGTGGTGTAAGTCTCAGTCCAAGGCTCCAAGGCTGAAGGCCTGAGAAACGAGGGGGCTGTTGGTGTAAATCCAGGAATCCAAAAGCTGGAGAACCTATAGTTCTGATGTCCAAGGGCAGGAGAGGAAGGGTGTGGTCCAGCTCTGGAAGACAGAGTGGAAATCCATTTTTCTCTGTCTTTTCTGTTTTATGCCCCCCCCCCCCCCACACACACAGCTGATGGAATATTACCTACCCACTTTGTGGATAGAGCTTCCCACTCAGTCCACCAATGCCAATCTCCTCACAGACACACCTAGAAATCGTGCTTTACCAGTTCCTTAGTCCAGTCAAGTTGACAATTAAAATTAGCTGTCGCTGTCTCTTGATCTAAATATATGGCATACTAGATTTACATTTGCAAATCTGCAAATACATTAACATCGACAATTACAAGTGTTCTCCGTGTTCTTTACATCCATGAATGTGTGGACTAGTGGGACTTTCTGACGCCCCGGTCCAAGTTAGGTCATGTTAGTACATGACTGCTCAGCACCCAAGAAAGGAATTACATGGCATGACACCACTCGATGTATGGGCATAAAGTGTGATAGATCTCAGCAACACCTGAGGACATCACTGTAGTTGATGGAGAAGACCAATGTCAGGTTGGGTTGTGTTTGACAGTCTGGTTATTAAGATGGGGCAATGTGTCTTGCATTTTGGAAGATTTGTTGTAAAATAATCAATATTGAGAAAGTCTGGGCCATTTTTAGAGGTACATTTTGAAAAATGTTATCCAGTACTCAGATATTGGACCCATGAGACAATAGTATATGTTGAAGAAGACAGAAGAAGAAAACTCTTAATTTTCTTGTTTTATGACATGGCAAAATTCGTGGTCTCTTTGATGCATTGAAAAACATTATAGCTACATGAAATGACCTTCATTCATGGTATTTATTGGGTCAACTTGTTAGGAACTGGGAACCTGGTTTATCCAACTATGTTTGCTGACTTCCTCTCTTTCTTATTGGAGGTAAATTTAGACAGAAGCCTAAGTAACTGCCATTCATTTTCTTACCTTGATAGATCGTTCTGCTGGAATTTTCTAATACTAAACAAATAGTAATAAAAGGGCCATGGTAAATGGGGTCCTGCTCACTCCCTTCGAGTTCTGGATGGAGTTGCTCATGAAATATTGATAAACAGATGTTGAATCTCTTACTTCCTAAGGTCAATGTGTTTTCTTTTTTTCCTTTTTCCTTTTTTCTTTCATCTTCTTTTCTCTTATTTATTTATTTTTTTTGCTGAAGACAGTTCTCATTGGATTTTCCACTTACCTGTGCCCCCACCCGGCAAAATGTCCTAACTAATTCGCACTTATGGATCAGAGCTCATTAGAGGCCCAGG